AAAGTGAGCTGTTCAGTGGCACAGCACCATCCTCAGTGTTATGCACCCATCACCTCTATCTAGTTCCAAACCCCTTTCATCAGCTAAAGGAAACCCTGCTACCCACATTAACTTCTTCCTGCTCCCAGGCCCTGGCAACCATCTACTTGCGTCTGTCTCTGTATTTACTGACCTGGTTCTCATCTATCTGCGACTGTCTGTGCATTTACCTGTCTGGTCCTTCCCAGTTTTGAAAGCACAGCTCAAGCTCCTGCTTTTTCAGTAATGCCCTCACTCCCATGCCCACACCAGGATGGTAGTGTGGTGTGGTGGAGGGAATAAGTCTCAGAATCAGGTAGACCAGGGACTCAGCCTTCAATGTAGCACTTGCTTTGCTGCAGGCATTGGGCAGAACTCCTGGGCACATGGAAGGCACCTAAAGAACATCACCTTTTTCTTTTCTTTCCCCTTCTTGCTTAGTGCTTGGCAAGGAGCTCACCATTAGCCTCAGGGAAGAGAATTGTCGGACATGATTTTGCTTCCACATCTGCATTGAGAGGTGGTGAAATGCTACTATTTAAATTTGTATGTGGCCTTGTTCAAGTGACCCAGCCTCCTCTTCAGCAAGGGAACCATGCTTAACTAGATCTCCAAGATTGTTGGGGGTTATAGGTGTATATGTAGGACAGTTGGTTGCATCTTCTCAGTGTGTGTATGCATGGCTTTCACCTTTTCATTCTCTGGGGCAGTGACCACAGAGGTTGGGATCACATGCGTTTGTGTGTACTTTGGAGAGAAGGCTGCAGGTTGAGAGGACTTCTTAGAGTCAGAGTCTTTTTTTTTTGAGACAGAGTTTTGCTGTGTAGCCCAGGCTGACCTCTAACTCGAGGCCCTCCTGCCTCAATCTCCTGAGTGCTGGAATTACAGGTGTGTATCACCACACCCGGCAAGAAGTCTTGGTGCCTCTGAGATATAGACAGCCAAGAACAAACATCTGACATGTGTAAAGAGTTGGTACATCCTGGGCCTTGTTCTGGGTGTGCCATGTGCATTCACCCATTCAATAGTGGGTTCTTTAGGAGGCAGGCTGTCTGATAAGGAGCCTGAAGCTGAGAAAGTGTCAGTAACTACCCACAATCACATGGCCAGAGGGCTTACACTCGAACCCAACCTGCCCCATTCTTAGCATCCACTCTTTTTCCTCAGAAGGTTCCTGTAGCTTAAGTGGGGACTCTAGGCAGAAGGCCTGAGGTTTGTGGTAAAAATTAATGTTAGACCTAAAGGAATCTAAACACTAGATTAAACCTTAGAGCCTAAGAATTCTAAACATTGAGGAGGCAGTGGGATGGCATTTGAACTAGGCAATGGCGTTTCACATGAAAATATGATTTCTGAGATATAGACTTGGAAGGTGACTGTGGCTCTCAGGTGTGCAGAGCCTTGTAGGTGTTCCCTTGGTGCTCTTACAGTTTCTTTTTTCATTTTGATGGTGATGGAACAAGAAATTGAGCCTGCTTTGGCTTGCTGGTTGGTAGTTTTGTCTGGGGCTGCCCTTAGAGGTAGGACACTGGGCTTGGTTATTGGAGTCTTACTGAGGATGGCCCTGAACTTGCAGTGGGCTGCAGCTGTGAGAGTGTTACAGGCATCAAGAGTGAGCAGGACTTAAAGATGGCAGGAACTGAGTGAAGGTCTTTTCCTCCCAGAGCCTCCCTTCTCTCTGTCGAATGGAGGGAGCCCTTTTCCTTTTCTGTCAGGTCAGTCATTTATTGACTTACCCCACAGCTGGGGCTCTTAGGTGGGCATAATCCCTCTGTTGCATCTTGGGGTTTGCAGGGCTAGAATCTGGAGGGTTCTCCTGGGCCCTGGTGTGGGTGCTGCATTCTCTGATTTGTCACTGGAGCACATTAGAAAGAGAACACAATTTCTCTGCCTGCCTGTCTCCACAGAGGCCCCATGTTTGCAGACTTCAGGGCCGAAAGGCGTGACCTCATGCAGAAAACCAGTGTCCAGAGAAGGGAAGTGATTGTCCTTGTCACATGGCCAGCAAGTGGCCTGGGCAAGATGAGAACTCAAGCCTTGTGACTTCCGATAAGTGTACTTCCCACTACTCCTCCCAGCCAGTTGCCCCTTTGGTACCTCCTGCCATTGATGAGTGACCCTGAGGTCACCTGTGCACCCTGCATCCCGTGAGACCTTTCTTGTAAGCTGTGTTCAGGGCTGAGGTGACCACAGGTGCTGGTTCTGAGGTTAAGATTGTCCCGCTTGAGTGCTGCTTGCCTGCAGAGAGAAAACACAGCCAGAGAGGTGAGCCTCTATGCTGAGACCTGCACAGCCTCAGGTTGTGTTTTCATAGAGCACAGGCTTTTCCCGTGATGAAAAGAGGCTTTGCAAGGCAAGGCAGGGGAGGCTGTGGACATCTCATCTAGAGCAAGCAGTAGAGCAAAATGTTCTAGAAATCTGTAGGATCACTGCATGGATCAGGAGTGGTGGCACTTACATCCTTGCTGTTCAAGTGTGGATCAGGCACCAGTGATGGCAGCCTCACCTGGGAGACTGAGGCAGACATGCAGAATCTCCAGCCCCACCCTCCACCTTCTGAATCAGACCTGCCTTTTAACTTGGTCTCCAGGAGGTCCACATGTATGGTAAAGTTTGAAAAGTACTGTGTTAGAAGGTTGTCAGTAGTGAGGTGACAGATTATTTCTTTGTACATTTTTTCCCAATTTCTTTTTATTGTAGCTTCATACAAATTTATCTTATGATGAGAAAAAAAAACCAGCAAAGGCATTTTTAGGATGAAACTCTGTCAGAATTCCAGTTGGCATTTTTCAAGGGCAAGGAGATTTGGAAAAAGGAAGGAAGCAAGCCTGACTTCTCTATTCTGGTGTGAGGGAGGGAAGAGCAGAGACTAAACCCTGCTAAGCAGAGAGCAGGGTTGATTGATAGACACAGGTGGTTAGGTGTTGGAGGCCTTGGGCAGGTGAACGACCTCTTGTCTGGTGGTAATGGTGTGTAGGCTTTCCTTTATCAAAAACCCTCTTCCAGAAAAAGCAATGATGGTAACATTTGAGGAGTTACTAGTTGTTTCACTGTGTGTCTGCAGTCTCTGCTCACTGTTTTATCTCAAGGTCTGGAGTGAGGCAGGAGCCTTGGTGTGGTGGTCCCAACACGGGCTTTAGAGGGGCTTGGCCTTGCACAGGATCACACTTGCACCCAGTAGAATCCAGGTTAGAGCAAGGTCTAAACCCTTTACCTGGTACATAGGACCTTCTGTGATTTTGATTACCGCCCCCCCTTTTTTTTTTCTTCTTTTTACTCAAGTCATAGCAGGCTTGGACCTTTTAGTCCCCAAAGAGCAGAAGCTAAACTTGTCCTGCCTCAGCCTCTCCCCCAGCTGTTTGCTCTGCCTGGAATGCTTCTCTTTCTAAAGGGATCAACTCAAATGTCACTTATGCAGGAATCCCCCAGGGCTGCACTGCCCTAGAGTAGCCCCCTCCCTTCCTCCTTCTCTGTGTCATCATCTGGGTTTTCTTCTTAGTATATTGTCTAACATCATTTAGTTTATTAGTGTACTTCTACCGTTTGTTTCTTCTTGATGGAATTCTAGCTTCATGAGAATGCACCTCTTTTGTACCATATAACTCCTGTGTCCCCAGCTGTTAAGGCATTGTTCGGCCTATGTAAAAGTTAAGGAAATCTGAGTGGATCTGTGCACACAATGACATGATGCCTGTGAACTTCAGTTTCCCTGTCTGTGTCGTGGGGTCCTGAAGATTAAAGGAGACGATGCATGAAGAGAACTCAGCTCAGTGCCAGGCATGCAGGAAATGTGCGACACGTGGCTGTTGTTATCCACTGGCTGACCCCAGTTTGACCTGCAGGAACCATTGACCTTCTTGGAGGCAGAGCCCTGCTCCTTTCCAGTGCAGCGCCACACAGAGTGGCTCAGGACAGAAGCGGCTTAGGTATTGCTGGTAACTTGGTACCTATGGTGTGGAGCAGCTTTGAGTTTGAGTGTCCTTTGAAGTGGCTGTGCTCGGGCTGGTGCTTACCATCTATGACCTTGTCTCTGCTGGTTGGTGTCATTGGGTCTCTTGTGGAGCATCAGTTGTAGATTACAATGGTCTACCTGGCGCTTTGAAATCCCCTTGCCCTATACCTTCTTAATGGAAATTCAGGGTATGTCATGTGTGTCATTTGGCAATGCTTTTGGCTGCAAATAACAGCCCAATGTACAGTGATTTGAACAGATGAGGTTTTTTATTTGGGAGAGTTAGGTTGTTCCTAGTGCTGGCTTAACAACTCGGTGATACCCAGTCTGGCATCTTTGTGATACTCTGGGCCTTTTCCTCAGGCACATGGCTTCACTGGGGCAGGGTGCTGCTCTGGGTCCTCCAGCACATTTATGATTCAGGCCTGAGGGGGAGGAAGGAATGGTGCCCTTCGTATCTTTTCTCTGCATCACAAGGCCCTTCTTCTTCCTTCTCGTTGGCCAACCCCTGCTGCTAAGCCTTCCTGCATGTATTACTACTGGAGGTGACATGGGAAAGGGTGTTGGAGATGGTGGTAAGATCAGACACAGAGTAGTGCCTGCTGTCTTAGGAAGCTCCTGCTTCTCAGCTTGGGGCAGTTTTGTCCTCCAGGAGATGCTTGGCAATCTCCAGACATTTTTGCTGTCACAACTTGAGGATGTGTTTGCTACTGGTACCTGGTGAGTAGAAGCCAGGATGCTGCTAAACATCCTGTGATGGCAATAGTGCCAAGATTGAGACACCCTTAGACCATCTGGATGCATTCTTCAACTTGGGGGAGGATTCCTTTAGCTGTTTTCCCACGATGAAGTAGCAGACAAATGGGCAAACTTGATTGCAGCGGTGTAGATTGTTGGTACCTAGTCTGGCACTGATCCTGGCTGGGGATAGCCAGGAGCTATCTATCTAATATTATATCATATAATATTAGATAGCCTTAAGAAGAGGCTGAGTGTCAAACAGAACTAATTTGGCCTCATTGCATTTTAGGGTCACAGAACAATGACAAAAGACAATTTCTGCTGGAGCGACTGTTGGACGCAGTAAAACAGGTAAGAGGAACACCTGAGCCTGAGTATGGGGTTGAGTAAGAGTGTCAAGGAATTAATGTAGGAGTCATTTCTTCCCCTTCATAGACACAGGCTTACTTTGTATCTGGGAATGGTGAAGTGGAGAGTTGTGCCCAGGAAATGATAGAGCAGGGAAGGCAGTTAGAGGATGAGTGCAAGAGATCCTGGGTGTCAAGTGTCAGAGCCCTTACAGGTACCCCATTCTTCTGCAAAGTCCCTTTCAGGGAGGAGTGGCAGCAACATGATTTTCAGAGTCTGACTTGGAGCAGCCGTGTTTTTGGGGTAGCTCTTAAGGGTGTAGTGGTGGGTGTGCTTAGACACTGTGAGCATAAGAATAAGGCAAAGAGACACAAGGGCATGGCCAGGATCCTGTCCTCCAGGGGCTCTGCTGTGTTGGGTGATGCTGTTTCTGTTCCTGGCTTCTGGCTGCACGTGGAAGTGAGTGTGAACTTGAGACTAGAATTGTTGACTTGCCTGTGTGTGCCAGACCTGCACTAGTGTTAGCTGTGTTATCAGTGTTCAGTGGGGCCTGGCTCTCTGTGAAGTGCTTTACGTTTAATTCTTTAGCCACCCTATGAGGTAGTTCCTGGAATTATTTTCATCTTACAGTTGAAGAAACTGAAGCTCAAGAGATCCAGTAACTTCTCAAGTGACAGAGCTGGGATCCAAACCTGGGAATTCTAAGAGCTCACTTTTTGGAAGGGATGATTGACAGTCATACACATGTAATTACAAAATAGGGAAGCAAATACTTTAATTGGGGTGTGTGTTAAGTGTTGAAGGAAGTTAACCCAGAGAATTTGGTATCTGCCCCATCCTTGAGATAGAATGGTGAAAAGACCCAGACTTGGGATTCAGACTGGGGTTGATGCCAGCTTCATCTCGCCACAGCTGTTTGTGCTAGGGCAACTCATCTTCCCTCTCTGAGCCTTTCTCTCCTCCCCTGGACCTGCTACTTGCTTCCACAGGGCTGCTGAGTGAGCTTCACTTGTTCAGAGAGGAAAAGGACCTGGCCAGTGGCTGGTCCGTAGTAAACCCAGAGCCCATGTCCTTCTTTCTTTGCTCTGGAAATACAAAATATAGCTAGAAAACAAGGAGGCAATTGAACCACTTCATATGTAGCAGTTAAGTAGAAATAAACCGGGACTCCTGCTCAGAGCTTGTGTTGTTCTTCTTATTTATGTATGATTTACATATACCATTTAATGTATGCAGTGTTGTGAGTTTTGCAACTGTATCATTTAAAATTATTTGTATTTTTGATCATAAGTTTAAGAAGCTTGCAAACCTGCTGTCCATAGCAGAGATTCTGTATCTTTAAAAGAGAGTGGTGCAGAGTGATGATTCACAAAGCACTGTGAATTGAACTTTACAGCTAAAAATGGTTAAAATGGTAAGTTTTACATTATCTCTATTTTACCACAATTAAAAAAAAAAGCAAATAGCTGGCTTTCATTTTTATCCACTCCAGATAAATTGTTGCTCAGCACAATTGAGAGTTGTCTGAAACTTGATTTATGTCATCGTAATTTTACAGCCAGTCATAACATCTTTGGGGCTGTGTCAGAAAGGCACCATCATCACAGACTTGTGGAGTTTTAATTCTTGCCTGTGAAGGACAGGAAGGCTGTTGTGGTGCCGACAGATAGCAGCTGACATACAGGAGCAGCTTCTTGGATGGAGCAGCACAGCAGAGGGCTGCATGCTGTGTTTTTTTTCCTGTTCTCCTTGTTTTTCTACAGGGCTCACTTCTGCACAGGTGGGAGACAGAGCTTCCTTAAAGTGGCACTTGGAGGCTGAGCTGGTCACTTTCTGACCTCCTGTGCTCACTCGCAGGAGAGGGCCTCAGGAGGCCCTGACTTAGCCCCTGGAGTTTCTGACCCCGCAGCCAGTGTGAGCCGTTTTGGGTGCTTTTGAGTGCCCCTTCCCAACAGCTGATCTCAGCAGTTTCTCTCTCTGCAGTGCCAGATCCGCTTTGGAGGGAGAAAGGAGATTGCCTCGGATTCTGACAGCAGGTAAATACGTCACTTCTCAAACAACTTACCCTCAAGACCAAAACGATGGCGAGCGGTGATGGCTGCTGCGCTACGCCTTCTGTGGCCAGGAGGTGCACTGTGGTCTACTGTGGACATATGTGCGGTGACTCCCTGTCTAAAACATCTCCAGCTTCTTCTGTTTCCCTTGTAAGAATTTATTCTGAAGGAGCTACCTGAGATGCCTTCCTGTGTAAAGTTATTTTCAGGATAATTTATAATTGTGAAAACCCAGAGACCTAAATACCCAGTAACTGGAAATGGTTAATCAGGGATAGTCCATCAGTGGGATGAACTGTAACACAGCCACGATATTCAAATAGAAAAGGAAAAGGCGTTTGTAGCAATTTAAAAATGATGTATGTAGTAAACATGCATACGGTACAACCGTAAAGAGATTGAGATTGGAAACTGTATGGAGGCAGGGTCCTGGCCGTGTCAAACAGTTCTGGCAAAAGCACATAGAACGCCAACAGTAGTAGTGTTGGGGGTAAGGGTATTAGGAGCCTTTATGTTTTCTGGTATTTCTCATATATTTATTGTGGCCATGTGTTCCTTTCATAATGAAAAAAGAAGTTCTAAAACTTGCCGGAGACATTTGTGACCCAGGACAGGCTGACATAATTGTCTAAGCTTATAACATTGACTGGATACATACATTTTGGCAGAGGTAAGAGACACACAGCTTCCAGTCTTTTCTGGAAATACTCTCTGGTGCCAATCAGAGCTGATTCATGGTCCACAGCCATGGACCCTTCCTGCTTAGCATTATTCTCTGCTGGAAAGTGTCCATGTCTCCACCCCATCCCTGCCCACCCAACAGAGCCATCATTCTCTCATCTGTCTGCTCATCCCCTTGGTCTCCTATAAAACTTTTAACTGCCGTGAGCAAGTCAAGCAGAACCACATTTCACAGAGCTCTGAGGATTCTTTGAAACTGATGCAGATTGAAAATGGCACTCCCCCTCCTTTCCTTTCCTGCTAGTTTTTCTCCCTAATGCTTATCACCTAGCAAACTGTACATTATGCTGTTTCATTTTGTGTCTTATCTGTCTCCTGTCACCATAATGCCAGCTCTGTGCAGACAGGGATGTTTGGCTATTTATTGATGTATCTCCAGTATCTGTACCAGGATTTGTGATCCCGGGCTGGGAATGAACTTCAAGTGGTACTGTGCCCGGGTAACAAGTGCAAGGCCTTGGAGTTCAAACCCCACTACCACATGCATATCCACATCCTGGTGAGTACGTGTGTCCATCGTCCTGTAGTCAGGTGCTCACATGTCGGTGCTACCACAGGCCTGTGAGCTTTGTGAGCTTTGGGCTGCTTCTCCATGTTTTTGCTTCTCACGGTTTTGCGCAGGCATTTTGTGCCTTGCAGTGTTATGTTAAGAGTCTCAGGGTATGTTTGTGGCATTAGATTTTAGGGGTACTGATTCAGTTCTTCCTGGTACAGGGTCTGGCCTTGGTCAGCACCTGCATCAGAATCACCTGGGAGGCCTGTGAACTAATGGTGCAGATGTCCTATCCTGTCCTTTATCTGCTGAGTCAGGCTGTGTAGGTGTGCATGAAAGTGTATGGGTATATTATTTGGGAATTTGCATTTTTGATAAGCTCCCCAGGTGATTCAAGTGGACACCAAAGCTTCCAGTCCAATCATTGTTCCAGGTCATGGTATACAGAATTAATTAAGAAGGACTCTCCCTTTCCTGGCCAGGTTAGTTTGTACATGTGTGGGTGACTCTGGTGTATACGTGTGTATGTATCTGTGACTTCTTTATTGCTTCATAATTGTGCTGTTCCATTTTCTGAGCTAAATGTTAGATTAATGTGTTCCTAGATAATAAAATTGACTGCTGTAACTTTTATTATGAAAAATGTTATCTTCTGTAGAAGAATTTAGAGTTAATTTCTCTTGCGATCTCTGTTATTTATGGCTAAAGCAGTATACTGCTTAATATTAGTAATAATAGTTATTGTTTGTTATGCTTTCACAACTCTTTGTGTTGGTGCTTGGTCTTTAGGACAACTTTAGGATGAGCAGTGGTGGTATTCTTTCTTTACATACTCTCAGAGACAAAGCAGTATAGCGTAGGGTAGTATGTTAGACTGTTTGTCACTGTGACAGGATACCTGAGGGAAACGATTGAAAAGGAGGACAGATTTATTTTTGCTCACAATTCAAAGGTTACAGTCCATGGTTGGTTGGCTCCATTATTTCTCTGCCTGAGGTGAGGCAGAACACCATGGAGGAAGGGCGTGGTATAGCAGAGCTGCTCACCTCAGGGTGGCTGGGAAGTAGAGAGAGGGTTGAGAAGAAGAGGTAGGGGACAAGATGTAGCCTTCAAAGACACACCCCGTTGACCTAGGTCTTCCAACTAGGCCCCATCTCCTAGTGTGTCCAGTATCTTCCCCAATAATGCCATCCAATTGATCTACTCATGAGGACTTAACACCTACATCTGAACACTTTTGCATTGGGAACCAAGTCTTCAACACATGACCTTCATATCCGTAACAGTCAGAAATCTTGGAAATGTTAGAAATTAGGGTTTGGACCCTTGTTTCTTGGGCTTACAGTATGTAGTTGGTCCTCTGTATCTGTGGGGGTTCTGTGTCTGTGGATTCTACCATCTGTGAATCTAAAATATTTAAAGAAAGGACTCAGTGGTAGAGCACGTGTAAGGCTTTGGGTTCTATCTCTAGAACCCCTCAAAAAATATCTGTACTGAGCATGTATGAACTTTTCTGGGGCTCGTTTTTCCCCTAGGTAGTTCAACATAGCAACTATTTACTTAGCATTTTATTGTATTAGGTCCTTCAAGTCACCTAAAGACGTTTTAAAGCATCAGGAGGACGTGCATAAGCTTTGTGCAAATACTGGACCAATTGTTACAAAAGACCTGAAGCATCCTTGGATTTTGGTATCTGCTGGGGGTCCTTGAAACAGTCCCCACAAATCCTGTACATTGCTGTATATTATTCTTTCTCTGTTCATATCATATTTAGTGATTAAGTTGATTTTGAGGTTGGGTTCTCAAAAAGGTTGTTCCTTCCCCCTTATGGGATTCCTTCTCAGTTACCTTTGACATGTATCTGGCCACAAGCTGTGCACCTCCTTATAGGCAAGGCTGCATCATTGCCCACTTTTGTGAGATTTTTTCCTAGAGAGGGAGTCAGTGAGCATTTAAAAATAGCTGTCATGAGGTCTGAGGTGGACAAGTCACCTCTGTTCTTCACCCTGACAAGTGGTCCTGCCCCAGAATGCTGCTCAGATCTGGGTGATTCTGTGCAGCCTCTCTCCTGTTCTGCCATAATCACTGGCCTTTCTCACAGATGGCTGCTATAGCTTCCACACTGGCTGTCCTGATCATTCTGCAGAGCGTGGATTCTGTCAGTTCACTCCCTGATTGATACCCTTGACACACACACACACACACACACACGCACGCACGCACGCACGCACGCACGCACGCCCGCGCCTCCTTTTCTCTTAGGAGAAAGACTCCAACCCATCCTTAACAAAGCCCGGAAACCACCTAGGCTTTCCCTGGTCTCTATTCTAGCTACCCTGGGCTTTTTGTGTTTTGTTTTTCAAAGCTTTTTATTACCTTGTCAGGGAAGTCGTCCAGATTCCTAACACTACTCCCCTTCCTCACAGTCCTTGCCTTCTGGACCTATGGTCCTTGTTGTCTACCATGGACTGGCAAATGTCTTCTGAGAAGGGCTGGATTTGGCATTTGGGCCATACTTTGCTGATCCTCCTCTGTGCTGTTGTTTCCTGTCATTCTGTTTCATCTTAACACATTTATATGATGTGTATGATGAACAGTGATACTCATCTGCTCACCTGGATGACACGCTGGAATTTAACCTCTTGCCTACACTCAGCCTTGCCGGTCTTGTAGTAAGTGCCCAGGAAATATTTATTGGATCATCCGTTGTTCTGCAGTTAATTACCAAAGGCTTATTTTGTTTCAGGTGCTGTGCTGGGCACAGAACATGTAGGTACATTTCTTCCCCTCCGGTGGCTGTTCAGCCACTGTGAAGACAATCTAGTGCAGCAGCGACTACAGAGGGGTGCTGAGGGCTGTGTCTAGCCAGCTGTTGATGCTCCCTGGGAGGCTGGCTTGAGAGTATATAGGTGCTCAGGGCCTGGTTGGAACCATGTTCCTTTCCTCTGGCTGTGCCACCTGCCTGACCTCCCTGAGCCTGAGGGTTGGGTGGGCCTCACCATGGTGAGGACTGACATGCTGCGGATAAAAGTGCCCGATGTGCAGCAGTGTTAGTTTCATCCCACATCAGGGGACCCAACCCCTTTGGGAGTGTGGTCTGGTTGGGCCCACTTGTCACTCAGTTTATCATACCTGCTGTCACGCCTGTTGATGTAGACAGTGGATTGAAGATAGACCAGAAGGACAGACAAGACGCTGTGAGCATTGTAGATGTTTGCTTTTGCTTTCAGAGGAACAATGGCGGTTGGAAAATTTCTTTCCCTGTAGCTGGGCACTTTTCTTGGTCCCATTTGGAAAATGGGGCTTCTTGCATGTGCTCTTCTCATACCAGTCTCCTCCAGGGTTCTGAAAACCAGCGCCTTCTAGGAAGCAGCAGATTATTGGAAGGCTTTGTCTTAAAAGGCATGCACCATTTTTGAATGCCACTTTACATTTATCGTCTTCAGAAGTCCTAGGCAGGAGTGCGGAGTGCTGGCCTTGGCTATGACCAGAGTTCAGCTGGCTGGAATGTCATCAGTAGGAACCCTTGAGGAGGGTAGTTGCTGTGGTGTGAGTTTATCCTCACACTTCATGTGTCGGAACCTCTGTTCTTATAGGTTACAGTATTGAGAGATGGGACTTATTGGGAGGTGTTTGCATCATAGGGACAGAGCCCTCATGAGTGGGGTTCATGCCTTTCTCCTGGGAATAAGTTTCTGTGGAGGGAGTTCAGCCCCACTGTTCTCTCTCTCTTGCATGTGTCTCTTGC